CAAGCTTGTGTGCTGTTGGTGCGCCTACAAACAGATAAGCATATACATATTCTTCATTCACGCATGCATGTCTCTCTCTCTCTCTCTCTCTCTCTCTCTCTATATATATATATATAATATGCTTTTTCACTGATTCTCATTTGAAGTGTTGTTGCTTGGGAAATAAATAAATAAGAAAAGGGTCTTTTTATAAGGTTCGTGGGGATGGCTGAGTGGAATTAGATTATATCACGTCCACTATTTTTTTCCTCTTAAAAAATCTTCGCCCTGTCTCGCTTAGTATTAAATATTGAAAGGGTTGGATTTTTCATTTTGCAGATTTTTTTTTAAATATTGAAATTAGAATCTTGAACTTGCTTAGTTGGATTTGTGCTCCAAAATTTAAGCATGTGTCAAATCTGTGAACTGAAATCCAGGCCAATCTTACAAGGATTTGAGAAGAGTTAGAGAATTTTTGTTGTCGTTGTTTTTTTTCTATCCAGCAAACCTGTTGTCGTTGTTGTAATTAGTTTATGTAAATTGATTAATTCTTATTATATATAATAACCTTTTCCTGATTCTTAATTAAAGTGCTTATTATATCACTTGAAACGAAAAAAAAAAAACAAGAAGAAAATTAAAGGGTCTTTAATAAAGTTTGTGGGGGTGCCTTGTAGAATTTTCTTTTAAATTTTGTTCTCCCCGGAACTGAATTATTGAAATGGTCGGATTTTTCTTTAGCCATTTTTTTCACAAAGTATTGAAACTAGAATCTTGATGAGCTGGATTTGTCCTCCAAAATTGAAACCTCCCCTTACCCTTAATAGGAGCTGCCGAGTTAACGAATCTGTCGTCGTCTTCCATATATATGCCTTATTGAGGGAATTTAACGTTCTCAAAATAAGCGCTGCAATTTACGATATATATATATATATATATCTATGTATATATTATGACGGGGTTGATTGGAACATACTACCTCCGGTTTTAATTATAAGAGCTAGTTAACTAATTTGAAGAGATTAAAAAAGAAGTTAATATAGTTATTTGTAACAAATATGTATTGTCTTTCTTAAAGTATCTTACTAATTAACTGTATTAGCTAAAACTACCATTGTTAGAAGGATTACTTTGAAAAAAAATATATAAATATGATAGACAAAATAGATTGGAGTCTTATATTTAAGATCAAAATAAAAATCAAATAAGGTCTTATATTAAAGACAGGAGGTATTATATTTTTATGAGTTTATATTTGTAATTCCATGCAATCAATTGACAGATGCATAGGATTCATATAGCATTAGCTTATCGATCACTGTGTGTGCGTGCGCGCCTGTGCTAGCTGGCTGCTGTTATTTTAGCCATATTTTTCAAAACCAATTAATCAATCAAAGACTAGTTTATGCATGCGACTTAATTTTCGAATTTTGTTTAAAATTAATTTGTCATAAGTGAAATTTTTTTAGCCATTTAAATCGCGAAAAGAAATCTGATTGTACAGATGATTCAGCATGAAATTAATTCTTACTGTACCATATATATCAAGTCGAATTTCACATGTTAAGCTAACTAATTAATCAATGTCTAATTAATTAAGATAGAGATGATTGAAAGTTTACCTAAAAATTTAAAAAATATATATATAACGCAGCCTTTGATTGGCTAAATATCAAGTGATGAGAGAATTGAAGGACCACACAAGCTAACCAAAACGTCATTGTCGTTCATAGAATAAATTGTGCATGAGTGGGTAGTGCGCACGTGTCTGCATGAGGTATCCCTTAGAATGAAATGACCTGAAAATGCTAGCTCTATGTCTCTATCTATAACTAGTCAACAAGGTTCTATCTCCAAAGTTGAAAATTATTATTTTCTGGATAAATGCTCGTACTTGGAAAAAAAAAAAAGTTAATTTGGTACCACTGGGGATTAATTCTGCAGACAGTATAATTCATGTAGGGTTTCTGCAGAGTCCCTCTTGTCTACATAAAGAAGAACAAATGAAATGACGTGAAGTTTGTAAGGACCACCATTAAAATTGAATCAGAGTCAAGTCTAGCTGTATATATCGAATGCATCAAAATCACATGGATAAACCCCAGCCACACCAACTGCAACTATAAACGGTGAATGATTAGATAACCTAGGATTTTTCTTAACTATTATAATTTCATGATCCCAATAATGATTAGGTTTAGGTAATCATCAAATCAATCAAAAGTAATCTAATGCCTATGAAATAATTTACACAAATTAAACATTATTGAGGGACATTTTTGAAAGGTAGGCAAGTTAAGTTGGTTTGAGTTTGACATATAAAAAAGTTATACAAAAAAAAAAGTCTTGTATTGACAGAGTTTCATAGATAAGAACTTCCATCATGTTTCATAATATAACATATTTTGTCTAAAATGTTGAATTATTTTTTCATATAGTATCTCTAACAAAGTATAAACTTTCTAACTACTTAACCAAACTTCTATGCATAACTTATAATTTTCTATTAAGAATAATTTTGATATTTTATAAGAAATAACTAATTTTAAATAATTTTATTAATGTATGTAAAGTTATTATTAGGTACTTGTAATTGTAATAAGGATTGGATTGATTATAAGTTAGAAAAAGTTAAATAGCACGTCAAACAACCATATATGCATTATTAGATTTAAGGATTAGGATCTGCCTTTTCAACATATGAGGATAAATTCACACCAGCTTTTAATTCATTGTAAGACGTGAAGGGCTGAAATCGATGACTTAGGATTATCCTTATCCTTATCTGCTCCCAGATAATAAGGTTTAGCTAAAATCAATCAAATTAACTAACCAGTCAAATGACAAACATTGAAGGACAAAGCAAATTATAGAGTGTGACGTGTCAGTGACAGGATTTGACAAGTAAGGTGGCTGGCTAGGTGATCATGCAATTAAAGCTTTTTGTTTCTCCATGTTGTGTGGAGGACCAGACATTGGTGGAAGCCCACGTGATGGCATGTGGGCATCCCAACCATTCCTGAACAATCTCGCATCTATATTTTTTGTGTGCTCCGGAGTTGCCCTGATCAACAGCGCAGAAATTTATGATGAAGATAATGTTGTTGATCATGATGGAGACCCTCGGCGATCCTTCGTGAAATTTGAGGGACATGTTCGTGAAGAGGCTCAATCATTTTTGAAGTGACTTAATATCTAAGCGTTGCGGATGAGGTTTGATTTGTACATGTGGTGAAGATGGCAAATTTGTGGATCACCCAATCATCTTCTAATCATGCTTAATCATTGACTAACCAAACAAAAAGAATATTTAAGGGGAAAAAAAGCAAACCTTTAAAGAAAAAATATATATTACCTCCTGTCCTAATTAGAAAATCTCGTTTATATATATAATTACTGAAAATGTAATACTAATATTGGACGCCACCATCATCATCCCTATCACCCGTTTAACTTTTTTTTTTTTTTTAATTATCAATTTTCAATTTTTTGCTAGCTAGAATAAAACAGAAGGTATATATAAATTAAAAGGTGGCCTGACAAGTGTTACCGTCATCCCCAGATTCTTTACTTTACAGACAAACGAACTTCCATAAATAAACAAGGTGATAAGGACCCTTTTGAAATGTCGAAAAGATCAATCATACATATATACGAGAGAAGAATATAATTTTTCACGATATTTTATAAATGAATAGCTTACTTTAATCTTATATAGGTTCTTCTATAGTGCTTATGAAGGGCTCATTAATTAATAATGAACTGAACCACTAATAATATTACATCACATCACATCACATTATATTATATTAATGTCATTGTCAGCTAAGGACGGAGAAACAACAAAGTTTAATCCGCGTTAGTGCTCAGTTAATTAAGTATCAAAAATTGGCTATATTCCAAGCTTAAGAGCTAATTAACCAAAACTTAGATTACTAAATACTCACAAACAACTTTGTTTTCAATACAGCTTAGATAGTGTGACACTGATCGTGACATGGAATATTTAAAGAGCCCCGGCTAAGTAATGGATGGCTGTGCTCCCCAAGGCCTTCCTTCCATATGTATATGTTTCCCAACTTAATCAAGTTAATTACAAATTAATTAAACGACCGTGATACTTATCAAATTAGAACCGGCCAATAAATAATATTTCTTTAGGGCTCGACCGTGCCTTAGAGCCTATTAACTTATATCGCCGGTTTTCGATTATTTTTTGGGGGGAGGGGGGACGAGGCTCTGTTTTTGATTGAGCCACAATTTTTTTTTCTTTTCTTGCTTAGCACAAGCATTCTCTTATTAGAGGTAATTTTGTTCGAAATATTGTTAGGTACTAAATATAGAAAATTCAAATCTTATTTTATCTTATGAGAGACTAACTATTTCTATTAGATATAATCCTAAATGTTTATGAGCCATAAATTAAAAGGGAACAGGAGGGTGACCGTGACTAAACAAATGATATAAACAGGGCACAAAACAAAAGGGGCTTTTTTTAAGGTGTCCATTTAATTATTCCCAATGATGAGTACCCCACAAACATACGCCCAGCAGGCAGCCGCACCTTTCAGCGACCAAAGGCACCCCAACTCTTGTTCACGTGGACATCTCGTGCTCTCCTCCCCTTCCTCCTCATTTCATTGACTTTTTCTCCATAAACACACACACACACACACACACACATTTCTCTCTTCATCAATATGTACATATATATATATATATATATATCCCTCTCATAGAAACACAAATTGAAGCCACAAATATTCTTCTAGATGGGGTTGTTGTTCTTGTACCTTACATGGGACCCTAAGGGCCATGCCACCCTGTTCTCTGAAATGAAAACCCTAGAGGCCCCACAATATCTAGATTCCAAGCCAAACCCAAACAAGCTCCATCAAAGCCCTACTTTTCACCCTCCCCACTACCAGGAGTAGTTTCTTCTTGTTCTTATTTGTCTTGACCCCCTATATATATACCCCCTTCCTGTTACATCTCCTTCTCATTCTGCAGTAGTGTGCTTGCTTAGCTTGCAGATACATCACCACTACAACGCAGCTTATATACTGAGATATTTGAGAAGATCGATGGCAGGCGTCTGGGTGTTCAAAAACGGTGTGTTTCGGCTGGAAAACCCGCAGTCGGAGGGTTCGTCGTCGTCGTCGTCGGGGGCGGGGAAGAGGAAGGTTCTGGTGTACTTGCCCACAGGGGAAGAGGTGAGGTCGTACAGCAGACTGGAGAAAATATTGTGTGGATTAGGGTGGGAAAGGTACTACGGTGGAGACCCAGAATTGTACCAATTTCACAAGCATTCTTCCATTGATCTCATCTCTCTGCCTCGCGACTTCTCCAAGTTCAACTCCGTTTACATGTACGACATCGTCGTCAAGAATCCCAACCTCTTCCACGTCAGACATGTCTGATCTCGTGTCTCTGTCTCATCTCATCATTGATTCTATGCCCAGTGATCAGTGTTTTTTTTTTTTTCCCGTTTTTAAGGTCATTAATTTCTTAGTCACTGATGTGTATTTTTCCTGGTATTCTAGCTAGAGGCTGTAGGTAGAGCCCTAGCCACTGAATATTGGGTTTGTTTTTGTCTGGCTTTCTTCCTGATCGATGAAGAATAAGGTGTTTTAGCTGTGTTCCTTAATTAGGATTTGTCTCTGACTTCGGTGGTGTGTAATAGTAATAGTAATAGATGGATATACAGTTGTGATCCATGACTCTGTACGTAGATTGTCTGATTTACATATATATAATGACATCATAACATTATGTTTTCAGTTTTATCAACTTTTCACTTCCCTTAATTACTGCTTGATCTTCTTCTTCTCTCTACATATGCCCTGGCTCAGTTTCTCCTTTTAATATTTGATCCCCAATATTGTTAAGTTTGATTTAAGTGTTACATATATAGAGGCCTAATTGAGGATAGCTCTTTTTTAAAACGATTTGTTAGATTAACAAGTTCTGAATCCCGGATGTAGTAGTTGAGGTGAATCGAGTTCCTTTTCATTCAATTCCCAAGTGATCAGATAATTAAGAATTAGGAATATGTTTTTGTTCTCGCTCTGTGGAAAGACCAATCCAGCTAAAAATAAAAAGGTTACTTAAGGAAAACAAAAGAAAAGAAAAAGGGGCAACAGAGAGTGGGTTAGGTTCAAATGGAGCGGCGCCCCACATGTGGTTTGAGAGTACTAAAATCAATCCCACTATTTAAAGGCTTTGCGAGTTATTTTCTTTCTGTATTTTTCATACGTGCTCCTTTTGATTTAAAACATAAGCTAAATTTTATCTAGTTATGTTTATCAAGAAACTAGTTAAAACAATAAATATATAAAACATGTATTCAGTTTAAAACAATAATTATGTAAGGTGTGTATTTTTCTTCAAATATGCCATTATTAATAAAGAAAATAAATAAAAGATGCAATAAACGAATCAAAGAAAAAAAAGAGTATAAAATGAGATGGAGTATTGATTAGAAAGTAAATGTTATCTTATAAAAAAAATTAAACCCTTTCAACAAAGTTTAACTTATATTTTGAATCAGATGAGTATTAATTATTAATGATTTTTTTTATGTCTAAAATGACAAGAAGTTCACATTGCCGCTGTACGTGTAATATTTGATTATCCCTTTTTTTTTTTCCAGATAGTGATTTCCCCGCAAAAAATTTGCCCAATTCAAGTCACATCCTAAAAAGTAAAGAATTGGTGATTGTAGCGAACACAAACCCCTGTTAATTTGAAGATGATTTTTTTTTAGGCCGAGAAAGTTCAGTTGATATTAAAAATTTAGAACTTTAACAAATATTAAGAGCGAATTATAAGTTAGATTAAATATGAAACGCATTATTCTAAAGCATGAGAGCACATTCGCGAAGCCATGCTTACATACAATGACTCGTTTAGTTCTCAAGGGAAGGAAAAAAATTAAATTTATGGACATCAACTGATATATATCAATCAAATTATGGACATATAGAGTGTCATCTTATAAAAAAGCGAGAGTATATATACAAGCCCTATAATTTTTTAACCCTATTATATTGAAATTTTAACGTATTTTTGAAATAGATTTAATAATATACTTCTTTTGGTCATTAATATAAGATCTTGTTTGATTTTTATTTTGGTCATAAATATAAGACCCCAATCCACTTTATCTATTATACTCCTCTGGTCCTTAATACAGGACCCAATTGTTGAGTTGGTTTTGGTCCTAAATATAAGACCCATTTCTCATATTTATCAGTTTTTTCTAAATTATCCCTATAGATACTCCCTCAACCATAATTAAGCAGAAGAGAAAGATGAGAATATAGAAAGATGATTATGGTGTTTTAAGAAAAACGTGTCACATTTCTTATAATTAACTAACTTACCTAACTTACTTAATCTATTCAAATTAGTTAAATGGGTCCTATATTAAGGACCGGATGAGTATTTATATACTCCTCCGGTCCTTAATATAGGACCCAATTCTTGAGTTGGTTTTGGTCCTAAATATAAGACCCATTTCTCATATTTATCAATTTTCTCTAAATTACCCCTATGAATACTCCCTCAACTATAATCAAGTAGTAGAGGAAGATGAGGTATTAAGAAAGATGATTATGGTGTTTTAGGAAAAATGTGTCACTTTTCTTATAATTAACTAATTTACCTAACTTCCTTAATCTAATCAAATTAGTTAAATGGGTCTTATATTAAGGACCGGAGGAGTATATTTTTTCAAGATAATCCTTCTAATAATTATAGTTCTAACCAATATACTTGATTAGTAAAATATTTTAGAAAAAACAACACCTATTTATTATAAATGACTAATTTATTTTTTTAATCTCTTTAAATTAGTTAATTGATTTTTATAATTTAGACCGGAAGTAGTAACAGATTAGTACCCTTCCTATGATTATGACAGCTGAAAATAACCAAAATATCCTATATCCAGTACCCGCTAAAGGGCCAAGTGCAAAACACAGGATAAAGATTAGGAGAAGTCGGAAGTTGGTGTGAGTGAGTGAGTGAGTGAGAGAGAGAGAGAGAGAGAGAGAGAGAGAAGGGTGGAGCCAATCATATAGTTACACATGGCATGCTGGAGCCCACATATGCGTCTTCTCAGTTTTTTTTTTTTGACCAGAGTCTTCTCAGTTAATTCCATAATGTTTGGTATTATTGTGACAACGATGTTATGGAGGCTTCGCCTTCACGTGAAGCCGATTGCGACACGTGTCACCGTCCGCTGTCATGTGCCACGTGCTCAGATAATGAAATTCTACCCGCATGTGTATACACTTCCTCTCCCTCTCTTTCACATCGTCATCCGTCTTCACCCCACGCGCGCGCTCTCTTTCTCTCTTCCTACTGTTGAAGTTCCAGAATGAAGCTTTGACAAGTCCGATGATTAATCTAATTCGTGATTTGTCACAGTAAAATAAGAAAATAAATATAAAATGCTCCATATACTTACTTCGTTTCCTGTTACAAGAGAAAATTATAAAACATATCATGTTGCTTTTTATAAGGGACATCTAGAAATTGTACTAAATTTTGTTTGTTGATTTTTTATTTTACTCTATTTAATTACTCATATTATTACTTTCAATTCTCACAATTCTCTTTCTTTGACATAAATAAAGATATTTTTGACAAAAAGGTTATACTTTTTATATGTTTATTATCTTTAACTAATTTTAACTAATATTTTGAATAATATGATTTGTATAATTGTCTTTTATAAAAAGTAACGGGGGTAATATTTTAGATCAAATTAGCTAAACAAAAGAATTTCTCCCCTTGTCCTTAATGTAAGTAGGGAATTAATGTTGGTCACATATGTAAGATTTATTTCACAAGTTTATGAATTTTTTCTCAAATTAATTTTATTGACATTTCTCTAATAATAATCAAGTCGGAAAAGAATGAAGAGAATTAAGAAAGGTGCTCGGGGTATTTTAGACAAAGCATATATTAACTAATTTAAAACATTCTTAAAATACTTAAATTAGTTAATTAGACTTCACATAAAAAAAACAGAAGAGAATATTGTGAATCAAATGAATATACATTTATAATTTATATGCCCACAACCATATGTTTAGTTTTCAACAGTTAATTTATATACGTGTAAGGTTAAAAATAGATCCTATGGATGTCAGTCCAAAAAAAAAAGAAAAGGCCTACAGATGGTGATCACCTTACTGGGAGGCCTACGTTACAGGATTCCCCAAATCTGTCGGCCAAGTCCCATCTGCGAGAAAATCGGTCCTTCTGCATTGTGTACAGTAGTGGGGCGTGCCGTTCATCACAAGGTCTCTAAATTTTATTTAGGAGCTGTTTGGATGTTATAAAAAATATTTTTTAAAAATACTTTTTCATAAATCAAAATAAATTCTTTTATATATTTACTTTGTATATTATACAATTATTTTTCAAGCTATGATTTGATTTCTATCCAAACACTCCCTTATTCTTCGTGAAAGAGAATGACAAAAAAAAAACTGAAAATTATTAAATCTTAAATCAAATTTGATAATAACATTTTATTTGGTGTTAACAATATTAAATTCACAAATAACAACAAATTTTTGTTGATATTTTTTATTCAGCATTTATAAATTTTCATCTTTTTTGTTGTTGTCATTTCTCTTCTAAATCCCACGTTATTTTCATACAATGTAAGTTTGGTTAATCTTAACCACAAAGCATGAGGACCGCCAACTGGAAAGTTTTGGATTCAAACTATTCCATCGCCTACCAAATATTTTTCTCTTTTTAAGACGAGAGTCCAGAGAACAGAGGCTATAAAAGGATTCATGTGCGCTTTTCATTACTTCGCTATTTGCGTCTATTGGGCCTGCACCTAGCATGAGATCTTTGGATATTGGGCTTAAGTGAACTTAACCTGGCCCATAATATTGGGCTTAGGACATCATTTGATCGCTCTGAATAATGAATTAATCACAGTGATGCAGCAGTAACAGGAGTTAAAACTACAAATCAAGGTCCAAATTTCCCCCGAAAGTCTCAAATAAGATTACCTTCATTAGAAAAATAATCGCACCTGTGAAAAAAATGACAATGATGCGCATAGATATCGTACTTGTTTTGAAAAACGTCACGCATTTGACTCTTAACGTTAGACATGCTCCAAAAATCTCAGTTCGTGGCCGCAAGGTAGCTTTTGTGCACTGTAATATGCTGCTTACAACGTCATCAACAACAATGGTGGATACGCCAAGCCAATCATTATATTAGTAAAGCAAATATAAATCTTTTGCATCAAACCATCATACTTGAAGAAATCAATTCCTATAGCATCATGTTATCAAAAGTAGTCAGGCCAAATATGCTAAAACCTTCTGACAAGGCTTAAGTACACAGTACATGACTCGTTTAGTTTAATCCTCTGTCAAGGTAATCCATCCATAAACTTATCTACATCCTCTTCAACCCAATGAAAAAAGACAATAAATAATTATAGTATCCAAGCGATTAAATACATCAAGCTTGCTTGTAATGATTGTCATCGATGGTGGAGTATACTAGTCCATCGTCACCAAGAGTCTTGA